GGTTTATGTCTCAAGTCACCTATACACGCAGTCACATACAATTTTATTTTTTCTGGAAGGTCGACCTCTCCAGCAGTCAACAAACTGATTCAACTTAATATTTAAGATTACATTTTAATTCATGATTTTCAACAAAATCAGTCTTTTTAGAGTGCACTGATCTTTGACACCTAAAATGTATGTTTTTTTGTGAGATATTATATCGACTCACAATTTGTGTTCTATTCTTCAAATCACTCTGACTTCCATCACCTATCATGCAATTTCATAATATCTATTTATAAACCTTTGTTGTCATAGATACTTGTTTTGGTTCTGGGATAAAATTACTGAAACTGTTTCCTAAATAATATATTGTTTTTTTTCAGCTGGTGTAGATCCGTCTGAATATAATGGTGTGGGGCTGGCTGTGTCTCTCATGTCCGAAGCGAACATCTTTTTTTGTGGCCTGTACATTCACTGCGGCAATGCCTACAACTGCGCGTCAGTCGAAGAGGTTGCAATAGTGGCAGACGATTCAGCAAAGAAAGCCAAGGATTTTGCTCAAAAACTGAGGTACTACTATGCAGTAAGGTGTGTTTGACTTGCTCTCAAAATGACAGGCTTCCAGTTTAAGAATGTTGCCATGGAAACAGTTTCAGATGATGTGAACAAAATTTTAAAATTGTGAGACCTTTGTTAGGATAATCAGGCAGAAGTTATGCAAATTAGGTTAGAATTATGCTAATTAGACTAAACATGCTAATTAGACTAAACATATGCTAATTAGACTGAACATATGCTAATTAGACTAAACATATGCTAATTAGACTAAACATGCTAATTAGACTGAACATATGCTAATTAGACTAAACATATGCTAATTAGACTGAACATATGCTAATTAGACTAAACATATGCTAATTAGACTGAACATACACTAATTAGACTGAACATATGCTAATTAGACTGAACATATGTTAATTAGACTGAACATACACTAATTAGACTGAACATACACTAATTAGACTGAACATATGCTAATTAGACTGAACATAGGCTAATTAGACTAAACATATGCTAATTAGACTGAACATAGACTAATTAGACTGAACATATGCTAATTAGACTGAACATACACTAATTAGACTGAACATATGCTAATTAGACTGAACATATGCTAATTAGACTGAACATAGACTAATTAGACTGAACATACACTAATTAGACTGAACATATGCTAATTAGACTGAACATATGCTAATTAGACTGAACATATGCTAATTAGACTGAACATATGCCAATTTTTGACTGAATATTGAAAAGTGTATATACAATCATTCTAACTATATTTCATTATAAAACTATTATTATGCCCCAAAGTATACTTAAATAACATGTCTGTTATGAATAATATAATAATTGCTATAAATAAAAGCTGATCATTTCCTGGAAAGTATTTAAATGTAGCACAGTTATCAAGATAATAACTCCAAACTGTCTACTGAATTAACCATTGGAAATAATATTGGTTAATTGTATACAATCTGCTCTTGAAAAATATTACAACATTTTGGCCAAAAAAAATAGAAATAGGTTTGCCCCCCTCCCTCTCAAATGTCCTTCAACATCTAGTTTTATAATCGTTTTCACAACCAAATAATTACATATATTTTCATGTACAAATTCTAAAAATGTGCCCATACCAAATAATTATGATAAACAACTTTTATCTAAAATACAATGTATTTTCCGACATTAGTTTGGACATAATTAGTCTGAAACGTAACAAAGAAACGAAAACATGCACTCCACACCAAAAGACTTCAATACAAAACTTAAAAATATTATCTAACAACATAATTGTTCTCCTTTTTATGACTATTTTTAATTTGAAACAAGTGTTTTGTTTGAGTAAAGACTTTTTCTCATGGATAATAAGTCAAATATTTGTTTTAATTCATTTGAATTAAGGAAAATAAATGAATGATATTAGGGAAATTTATTTTTAATATTGACAGTATTATACCGGTAACATGCAATCTTTGATTCCAATTTTGTTGCTGTATATTCTTAAAAGCAGCAAATCCATTTGCAATATAATTACCGTAAAACATGTATTTAGCTGGTATATGTTATTTTAGCTAATTTAGCAATTTTTACTTGTGCTAATTCAAAGATGTAGCTAATTTAAAAGAAAGCATATTCTCACAATAAAATTGATGGCACTTTAGCTACTGTAAATTAAGATACTGTATATTCATGCATTTAAGCCAAATTTGGTAAAATGACATGTAACGTTTTAAAAGTGTTTTACATTATGTGAAACATGTTATTTTCATCATCGATATGTACAAGTATGTGCAACATTTTTAGCTGCAACATTATTGAACTGGAATCTGTTATAGTATTCTGTACTGTGTTCTGACTATTATAGTCCTGTGTAGTTTTCTGTCTGTCTGTGATGCGTTTGCACATTAGGCTGTGATGTTACGTAGATTCATTTAGGTGTTGACTATCGTCTCTAGGTGGCGCTGTTCATCTCATTATGCCTAGCTAGAATAGAAATTGCTATAAAAGTACAGTTAATAGTTTTGTTTTGTTTTGTTGTTTTGTTTTTTTCAATTTGACCATTAATGCTGTACATATATAAGTTGCAATTCCCCATTACTGATTAAAAATAACCATCATGCAATGCTTAGAAAAAAATTGGCTTATGTTTTTTTTTTTCGAGTCATACAATTTTTTTCTCATCAACATTTTGCCTGTTTTTAATTTGGATCAAAAAGACATTACACCTTATTGGCATCAAGTCTTGATCAAAATTAGGACAAAAAACAAAAACATTTTACTGCACTATAAGATTTCAATCATCATTACCATATATCTAATTTTTTGAATATAAGGGTTAATGATTAATGTTAGCAGTTGGTGCTTATTTCTTAGCACTATTTACTTGTTACCATAGAAATGAGTATCTTTAATTCTTAAAACATTTTTTTTAATCTAGCATAATAGGATTTTCCCAATGTAGATAATTTTGTATACTTTTTTGGGGTAATTTGTAGAAATTTGTGAAACCTTAATCACTTTGTAGAATCAAGATTAGATAGAATTAGACTTAAATACATTTTTTTTGTCAACTTATAACGTTTATTCAATAATTGAGCTGAAATCTTTGGAATTGCTTTTAGCTTTGACATTCGTCAATTGCACATTGTTTGCGTAAATCTATAATTTTCTATTTTTATATATGTACAAAATACTGGAGCAAGCTTTACATACTTTATGTCTTTATGTAGCTTTGATGTTTCTATTATGGCGATACCAGTCTGCAAAACAATCCATCAACATTTGTTATAATTGGACTGAAAATAGGAAACAGTTGGTATCGCCATGGTAACTGACAATGTTAAATGCACGTTATAGATCACTCACTGCTTAGTTATTTTTTCTCATTATTTGTCGATTTATTTATTCATTTATTTATTTATTTGTTTATGTTATCTTCTTTCCCTGATTTAAATTGTGTTGTCATTAATGTTAATTTATTGTATATTTATTTTGTCATGATTATCGTTTGTTATTTTGTTTGTTTATTTTCTCTTCTTACTAGAAAAATGAAGAGACACAAAGTAAATTTTCCACACATTGCACTCGGCTCCACTCCAACATGCAGTCAGCCTGTACCAAGCATGAAAGATGAAGTCACAGAATGGCACCCTGGGAACTACATTTTTTATGGTAAGGGGTAACATCATATCATGGTGAATGTACATTAAATCTAATATTACAAACATTTCTAGAAAAATTCAGACAGTCAACTAGCAAGATGGCTTGCAGCTTAATAATATACTTTGGTTTTTGCTGTTTTTCAAATTTGGAGTTGAATTGTTTAAAATTGTAATTTTGTTGAAAGTTTTTTTAAAAGTGTATATAATGTCTATTGATTAGTGATCAAAAGATCAAAGTCCATGCTAGCATAAATCATAATTTTTTACTTTTTTATTTAAAATTTACCAATAAAGGGCGTCCTGTATCTTTTTGTTCAATATGTTCAGTTTTTAACATGTTTGCTTGTTTTGTCGTATTGAAGTGACAGTGCTGGTATTAATTTGGGCTAAACCATTCAAAAAAATGGGGAGCGATGTGCAGTCATGATTTCTAGCAATTTAACTAATCTACAGGTTGATTGGGAAATCTTGTTGAAGTTCTTGATAAATAAATTAACATTAGTGTTGATTTTGTGAATAAAAGTTTCAGATCATTCTACTTTAAGTTTATAACAGCATGAATACCTTGAGCCCTTTTGTTTCTGTTTTGCTGTACATAATACGCACTACTACATTACACCTACTTATGAATTCTTTTAAAATGTTTTTCATTTTGATAAAATTCCATATTTTTTTCTACATTCTAATCAAGTGATTACTATAAAACTAATTCATATGGTTACCTATGTGTACATAGATTTATGTTTTATCAGGTTTGATTAAAAATGGCTGGCTGGCTGGTGGCCATTTTGTTTTTACAAATGCAGTTGCAGTGTCATTATCTCTGACATGCCTTGACTGATTGCACTCAAACTTGACAATTTACTTTATGTAAGTGTTATTATGTGTCAGGCTTATTAATGTGCATTTGTTTCTGATTCAAAATTTCTGACTCAGTTGTTTCATGAAATGATCGAGTTGCGTCAACATTGATCCACATTTTGATAATAAACAACTAACATGAATATGCACTTTTATTACGATATTATTTACAACCCATCAGAATTTATAATGTAAAACTTCCTAGAACATTGGGAAAAACAGTTACAGTCAAGCGTGTTATTATTTTTTGTTGTTCTGTGGTTTTGTATGTAACGTACTCAAAGTCTTAATGTGATGTAATTTTTGCAATGTTGTTTTATTGAATGATTTGACCTACAACAATGCTCTTTGTATATATGTTATTATTAAGTTGTTGTTATTAAGTATGTAATCATCCAATCAGAGTGCTGTGTCATACTGATGCTCTTTGTATGTATGTATGTTATTATTAAGTTGTTGTTATTAAGTATGTAATCATCCAATCAGAGTGCTGTGTCATACTGATGCTCTTTGTATGTATGTATGTTATTATTAAGTTGTTGTTATTAAGTATGTAATCATCCAATCAGAGTGCTGTGTCATACTGATGCTCTTTGTATGTATGTATGTTATTATTAAGTTGTTGTTATTAAGTATGTAATCATCCAATCAGAGTGCTGTGTCATACTGATTCCATTTCCTAGGAATTCTATTGTCAATGACATGTTTTAACTGCAAAACATAAGTTAATTACTGATGTTGTGATCTGGTAACATTAATTTCAACCACAAAATTAAGTATGATGTCAGAATATGGTTTAAAACATCAAAAAAGACATGTCTAATGACAACTTTTCTTGACTAGTTTGGTATTTTGGAAAGAGTGATTGGGTTTCATGGGTGCTTGACCCCTGATGGCTGCTAACACAGGTGAGTACGGTGTATAGTTGTGTATCAATTGCGATGTCTTGAAATAACGCTTATTTCTTTTGCAGACGTGGAGCAGCAGTCACTTGGATCTTGTAAAGCATATGACATTGCCGTCCAAGTGCTAACAGAGTGATTGCTCACTACCCTAGTAGAAAACAAATGCTGATAGATTGTGGATGGACTGGATTGAATCTACATGGTGCAGAACATGGACATGGAACAGTACTAGGACACCCCCATCTCAAGTATGTCATGTACTATAACAGGCATCGATCCCTGTCTGAAAGTAGGAATGCTACTTGACATGTGTGCATATTTTAGTATTTCGAAATCTGTCTATAATTATATAATCATTTTAGTATTGGTCAACAGTAAAATTTAATTGTATCTTTAGAAAAAGAACATTTTTATTAGTTTTATTGGTTTTAGCAATATATATACATGCAATTTCATTTTGTGTAGTAAAGCATCTGTTTACAATGTGCAGTATGCAGATTTCGTAAATTCACTGTCAATCTGTTTTTTTTTGAGAATATGACATTTTACTAGCAGTTTTCAGAGATCGCACTGGGAGGACATTATGTAATTCTATGTAAGACTGCCAACATTCCGTGTATTATGCCATTAATACATAATAATTTTACATTACTTCACTAACACTAATAATTTTGATTGATTTCCAGAATTATTTCTATGTCTCAAGAAGTCAGCATAGTGGAAGATGACCGTGGTACTTTAGATCAAGCTAGATATCCTATTGGAACCATTTTAAGAATTTATCCTTACCATGTAAGTAAACATACTACATTACGATTCAAGTATAACAGCCAAGAGTCACAATGAAGTAGGTTACCTGATAAGTTAGGAAGACACAATGAAGTTGGTTCTCTAATGAGTTAGGGGACACAATGATGAATTTTGAAATATGGAGTAAACCTCACCATCTGAACTAATGGTAAATCACTCAACAATGCTGTTTGACACATTTTTATTGTGTTTGATTATAGGCCTGCGGTACTGCTGCACTGCATCCAGTCTATTACGTACATTCCAATGATACTATCATAGAACAATGGACACCTGTGAGAGGATGGTGAAATAAAGAACATTTATTGAGTGATAGGCTCATGAATATGCAAATTACCTGGTGACATCATGACCATTTTGTTTCTATGGAATCAGGGGTCAGACAGAGTACATAATTATTTGATGTCTTAAAACTAAAAGTGCTCCTTGTACTGCTAGGGAATAATCATGTGTGTGTTTTTTGTTTTGTTTTTTGCAATGTTTACATAATAATCATGTCCATAATATTTTGAGCAAATTTAAATATCAATTGATAGTGGCAATATTGTGTTGCATGTATTGGGATTTACTAGGCATGTACTTCACATCTCCAGCAATGTACGCAGTGTGGTATAACTTGACGGTTGTCTTGGCAACAATGAGTATCTGTGACTCCCTGTCAAAACATCTTGGGATCTAGATACTAACTTCCTGTGATTTCTTACCAAAGCACCCTAGTCACATTTTTACTTCTACAAAATTAACAAAAAATATAGCAGTAGATAGCAATAATGTAATTCTGTGCATGTAAGACACAAAGACATTACTTTAATAGATAACCCCTTCTCTGCTGTGTACAATACACATGGGTCTGTGAGTAATATAATATTTTCATTGTGCATTGTGGTACTCCCATGGTGCACTGTGGTACTCCCATGGTGCATTGTGGTACTCCCATGGTGCATTGTGGTACTCTCATGTTGCATTGTGGTACTCCCATGGTGCATTGTGGTATTCCCATAGTGCATTGTGGTACTCTCATGTTGCATTGTGGTATTCCCATGGTGCATTGTGGTACTTCCATGGTGCATTGGGATACTCCCATGGTGCATTGTGGTACTTCCATGGTACATTGGGATACTCCCATGGTGCATTGTGGTAGTCATGGTATTGTATTGTATCACACGCATGGTGTATGGTTTTACTCCCATGGTGCATTGTGGTACTCTCATGGTGCATTGTGGTATTCCCATAGTGTATTGTGGTACTTCCATGGTGCATTGTGGTACTTCCATGGTGCATTGGGATACTCCACATGGTGCATTGTGGTACTTCCATGGTGCATTGTGGTACTCCCATTGTGCATTGTGGTAGTCCCATGGTGCATTGTGGTAATTCCATGGTGCATTGTGGTAGTCATGGTAATGTATTGTATCACACCCATGGTGTATGGTTTTACTCCCATGGTGCATTGTGGTACTCCCATGGTGCATTGTGGTACTCCCATGGTGTTTCTCTTTTACTCACTTGTGTGAACTATAAAAGGATTGTCTCTGTTGAGAGAATTAAAATTTTGATGTCAACATTTTTGTCTTTTCAACAGGAAGATGTAGATTTTAAGCCATGCGTCAAGGAATCTTAAATAAATTAATAAACTATGAAATTGAGTTGTAAACTTTATTCTGTTATTTACAAACATGTACTAATTTCATTTTAGCTTTCACGTTTACTTTAAGTAGAAACATGCACTTACAACATTCTGTGGGAAACTCTGAATTATTACAGTAGTGATGATAACAAATTTCCACACAGTACAATATCGGATTTTTAACAATTATTTCAGTTAATAGAAAATTTAGAAATGAATGCATGTAGTGAAAAGTCTATGAGTTGTGTTTTCGTAATTTACTGAATTTTGGCATTATTGGAGCAGGGCTCCAGTGGAATAAAAATACAAAACAATCTTTTTAATTTATTATCATCAAATTTTGCTAATACTATCGACAATAGTGTGTATGCAAGCTGTGGTACTAAAATAAATCCTATGCAAGCCCTCATATGTCAGTGTATCAAAATTCTCTTGTTTTTATTGTAATGTGCCATGCCTGTAATGTATTCTTGTGTCATTGACAACACTCCTCTCAGAGTGATATTCATGTTCATTTCAAAGTGACCTGTCATGTGAAAGTACATTTCTGGTTGGTGCTTAGCAAACATTATGGCTTGTTTATGATGCATGGTACCATGGTAAATTATTTCTTATATTTTTCTTCAAACTAGTGAATGTTAACTTACGTTAACTTTGAATAGGAATACTGTATTAGCATTTGTCATTTCATTCTACAGCAGCAATAAAATCAATAGTTTTATCTGAAAATGAGTTTTGTCCAGTTACTATAGTAATCAGTGGTGTCCCCACTGTTTCTATTATAACCAATTAAATTAACATGGTTACTATTTAAACCAATGAAACCAACATGATTACTATTATAACCAATTAAAACTAACATGGTTACTATTTAAATCAATAGAGCCAACATGATTATTATTATAACTAGTGAAACTAACATGGTTACTATTTTAATCAATAGAGCCAACATGGTTACTATTATATCTAGTGAAACTAACATGGTTACTATTTAAATCAATAGAGCCAACATGGTTACTATTATAACCAATGAAAACAACATGGTTACTATTATAACCAATGAAAACAACATGGTTACTATTATAACCAATGAAAACAACATGGTTACTATTATAACAATGAAGCCAATATGGTTACTATTATAACTAGTAAAACCAATATGGTTGGTATTATAACCAACAGAGCCAACATGGTTACTATTTACAGTGAAAATAA